ATAAAAATATTTTAAATAGTTAAAGCTAAAATTAATATTTCAGATCTTGAACATTTTTAAAAAAGTGGCAGGATAGTCAAAATATACATCACTGGTAATGGTATAACTAAATCAAAATTTTATTGACGAAATTTAAGATGTTCGATTAAAAAAAAACTTTATAAATTAATTTTATAGCGAAATAAGCAGCTTTTTCTTTTGAATTATAAAAAAACTTTCAAAAAATAATTTTAGCTAATTATAATTTCAGTTAATACAGGCAAGCTGTCTAAATTAAGTCAAAACAAAAGTGATGACTAGCTGAATCATTTATTGTTAATTATGTAGTAAGAAAAAAAATATAATTATTTATAAATAATAATTAAGGCAATTAATAGTATAGGATAATCAAGAAGTAAATACGTAGTCAATATCAATTTGTACAAAGCATATAATAAAATTAAAGCTTCTCTAAATACTATATTTTGTGTATAAATTCTAACTCTATCTTGAATTCAGCTGTTTTTTACTAATACCTATAGGTTACACTTTTTACGAACTCTTGACATAGCTATATATAACTAACTATGCGAAAAAACAGGTCTTAGAAGGTAGAGAGCAATATGAGATAACATTTGACCTTGGGCTTTGTTTATAGTCAAAGTGAATGTAGGCCTTATAGGAAATTGTTTTTTTAATAATATGAATAGGAGACCTGCCTCTTTAGACAGTTGTGAGGAATTCTTCGAATAAATACATATTTTTCTTGATGTTTACCAATTGCTATCTTAGCATCAATTACTTGGTTATTTAGTTGCTAGCATATAAGCCTCGTCCTATTACAAAGTCTATTAATTGGGTCAAGATTTCTAAGTAACATAATTGGTGCCTCAATCTTCAATTTAATTTCATATAGAGGAAGACTTTATAGTATTAGCAAATTAAGATATTCTATAGAATAGAGATTTAGGTTGTCTTCTAGTACTGAATCAAAGCTATGATAGGTCTGCTGTTCTCCAAGAAATTTGGCTATTATTTGGTTATTTAATTCATTAATATCATAGTTTAAAGATATAAGTATTGCCTATTCTGTTATAAACAAACTATTTTTAGTATTTTCTAAGAGATTATAATACATAGCATTTGTCAGTGTTATAATGGAATCATTGTCGTTTTGCAGATAAATAACAATTTTATTAGGCAGATGAATTAAATTATTTTCAATTGTCAGTTCTGTGCCATTACTAATTTTAAGTAGGTATTCCGCAAATTCTTTTGCATCATAAGAAGTATTTTGGATGACTTGCATATTAGTCGATAGAAAAAAAACATGAACATGTTGCCATATATGAGATTTATTAAGAGCAGCATTTACAATTTGTGCCCTATTACCTTTACAAACTACAGAAAGAATCTGTTAAAAATTGCCACCAAACAAAATCACTTTACTACCAAAGAGAAGGGCATTATTCATAATATCCTTCAAAGTTTTGTTAATAGCTTCAGGAGTATAACAATATACCATAGAGGCCTTATTCCAGATAATTAATGCTGTTTCATAAAGTAAATTTGCTAAATTACTTCCTTTTTCGATATTGCAGGTGGCATTTTTATCCAATATTACAATTGGTATTTTAAAGTACAAATGTGCAGTACACCCACCTCGTAATAATAGTATAGCAATTCTAGAAGATGCTATAGCTAAAGCAACTTGATTGTTGACACGTATATGTGTAAGAAGACAATCATAAAGGTAGGTTTTACTACTTCTGGCTGGTCTGTTAACAAATAGCATACCATTTTTGCGATACTCTATAAGACTAAGTGTTTTGTCAAATATAGCAAGTTGTATCTCATTTAATGTATTTGCTTTATTAAGATCAGCTATAGTAAAGTTATAAGAAAGCTCTTCAATAAGCACAGTAGGCAATTCGGTTTTATTGGTCTCAGGAAACAAATCTAGTAAGTCAAAATCAGTAACAGTTTTTGAATGTCTTTGCAATAATATATTCAAGCTTTGAAGTATTGTCTGAATTAAGGGTTGACTATTTGGAATACCCTGTATGCAAAATCTTCTGACATTGCATCAAAGTTTTCATTCTACAATTGGCACATATCTGCAATGTCACCATAAATTAAAAGTATTACAAAAAGAGCTCGGAGTTGACTTGGCATCTGAAATTCTCTTGCCTCAAGCATGCATTGTCTGTAGGTATCATCATTTTCAAGAAATCCTCTATGCAGTATACTTTTCTTAAATATTGAACATATAGTACCATTTACTAATTTGAGATTATCAAATCCTATAGTGTCTTTGACTTTTGTTAATAATAATCGTAAATAATATCATTCACCTGGGTACAGTAGTTAGACATCTATATTAGTAATTGTACTTATACTTTTTCTTGATAATTGGTAAGTAAATAGGAATCAAAGCATTTCTCAAGAAAACAATATATATATTTTATAAAATAATTGTTTTATTATGCCATTATTTAGCAAAAACTTAGAATTATTTCTTGCCTTCACTTGGATGCACCATATAAATTTTTCCAATACAGCCTCTTCACTTACGTCTCTTCTATTTTTTTGTTACTTTATTCCAAGTGTA